TTCTTGCATTAACCTTTATTAGGAATGGTTTGCCAAAATAAGGCAATTTTCTTAAATGGCGATAGAGGGCAAGCAAAGAAAAAGAATAAAAAACAAAAAGAATAAAAAGAAAAACAACTATGCACTTAAGGCATTCAAATGAATCCAAAGAATAAAAGAACTCAATAAATTTATAAAGAAACCAATGAGAAAAAGCCAAAGAGTTCAAAGGAAGTTAAAGTTGAAAAAAAAAACCCCATTTCTTTGAACTTTTTTCCAAAAAAAATTGCTCTTCAAATTTGAGTAACTGTGCTTGAGATAATAAATGGCTATCTTTCATAAATTTAAGTTAAAACGATTAGAACTAAAGTCAACTTTCAAAATTAATAATCAAATTGGAACCAATTTCATTTAAAATTGAATCTGTGATTTTTTAAAGCACTAAAAAGTTTGATTGCATTTTAAAAAGTGTAAAATTACTCAAATGCCCTTAGGGATATTTTGTAATATTGACTTCTCAAAGTTAGATTTTCGTGAAAATTTTCATATTATGATTGATGTTATCTAATGATTTTTACACATCAAAAACCCCGATCACACTTTGAAAAGTGTTAAATTACTAAAATACCCTTATAAGTATTTTCGTAAATTGACCTTCTTGAGGTCAAAGTTTTGCAAAAAGCTTCGGATCATGATTTAATATTATTTGATGAGTTTTGGAATATTGAAAACTTTGATCATACCTCCAAATGTGTTAAATCACTAAAATACCCTTTAGTGTTATTTTTTTTAATTTGACTTTCTCGAGGTCAATTTTTTATGAAATATTTCAGATCATATTTTTAAATTATGTAATGATTTTTGGTGCTCTAAAAACTTTGGTAGCACTTCGGGAGGTATGAAATTACTAAAATACTTCATAGAAGTAATTTCATAATTTGACATTCCTAAGGTCAAATTTTTACGACAACTTTCATATCTTAATTTCATATTATTTGAAGATTTTTTGTGCTTTAAAATCATGAAAATGAAGAGGGAACATTGTTTTTCCAAGAAAATGGCCTAAATATCGAAAACTTTTTAATAAGGGAAAAATAGTCTTTTCACTTGGTTTCGGTAGCATTTAAAATCCAATCTTTGGCATTAAGCATTCTCAACCATAGGATGATCTTGAGAGGCTGGATCCAAGGGTGGAGGGTGGCACCTTGCAAAGAAAACAAGAGATAATTTTTAACCATTAGATGAGTTTTGAACCTAAGGACTTGCATGCATTAAGGGAGAGATATTTTTTATTCATTAGAGGCTAGGATTCACATTTTGGAAAAAGAAGAAGTTGGCTAGGATGTGAGGAAGGGGGATAAAAAAAGAAAAAAATCTTGGTGAAGAGCTTAGAGTAGGTATAATTTTTCTACCATTTTTATTTTGCATTTTCATAAGCATTCCATAGCTTTTATCATATTTTTCATATCATTTAGCTTTTTATTTTCATTTTCTTTGAGAAATTTATAGTTTTTCATTTCATTTCAAGCTTGGATCAAAACTTCATCCAACTAAACCATAGTTGGATTGAATCAATGTTCAAGTAACAAAAAAACAAGAATCCATCATTTGAAGCCATTAAAGGTTTAGCCAAACCTTCTTCCATCATGGTTGAACCTCATTTTGGTTCCTTTTATATGTTTTCCTTGCTTCGCATGTTGTTTATTGATGATTTAGTTATTGGTTTGCTTGTTTTTTGCATGAATTTTAATTAGTTTAATGGTATATGTTTGGTGTTTGGCTATGTATATTTGGTTCCATGGTTTTTTTACTATGTAGCTCATTACATGTTTGACAAAATTTCTCTCATGGTATAAAGGCCTTCATGTGATGATTTTATGAATGATTGATGCATGTTTGGATCAAATGAATGGTTGTGAAATTATGGAGAGGCCTTGTGGAGGTTTGCCCAACCATTCCCATGCTTGGCCGAAATCTCCTAGCTTGATGGAAGGCCAAATATTGGTTCATTCATATGTGTTTCCTTTTCTTATTGCATTCTTCTTTAAGATTTCATTGTGCTTAACTATAATTTCCATGATTAAAATGTATCATAATATATCGGTCCAGAGACTTGATCGCTAAATGTAAAAATTTAAAAATTGTGAAAAATATGAAGAATTACCACTAATCCTTTTTTAGGGTGTGATTGGCCACCCAAAAAATTTTATCTTTTAATAAAACAATAAAATGGGTTTAAAGCTTTATTAAAAAGATAATTTTGGCCTACAAAAATAGATTAGGTTCAAGAGTCAATTATATGTGAGGAAGGATTAGCGCTACTACAATTCCGGCAAAATTGATACCAATTAATTATGTGTTATTTGTAATTCATAATAAAAATGGTTTTCTATATGAAATTTAACTCTATTTCCCTTTGTTTGTAAGAAATAAAATTAGTTAAAAAAATCTTTATTTAGGAATATTATGAAAATCTTCAAATTAAAGAAATACCTTCAAAGTCTCCAACATAAAAGTAGAATTTGAATAGAGTCTTTCCATTTAAGATTTATCATAATGCTCCTTTTAAAATAATAAAATAACACTGTTTGTAAATGATAATCATTGATGACTCTCCAATATTTAAGTTCGGTTTTTTGAAGGTTAATTGCATTATAAAAAAGATTACTGGCATTTCTTTATTTTGATTTTTATTGAAAATGCTTTAGTCCCGTTTTTCGATTTCCTCAAATTCGACGATTGGATTTCTAAACTCGTACGTTTGATGGTCAAATTTCTAAACTCATATGTCATAATATTAACAAAAAAGGCTTTATTCCATAGATTAAATAGTCACATAGTTTCGAAAGTATTCCTATCATTGTAAATGAATTGAGCTCCATAAGTTTAATAAATAAGTAAAAAATCCAAATCCTCTAATCTAACCTGATAAGCCCTAATGATTTAATACTTCGAGTGCCATATAAATTCAAATTTTACAATAATTCTCATTTTAGAATTATAGCAAATATTTTGCTTGCTAAAAGAAGCATGCACAAGATGCTTGAATCTAAATAAATCAATTAGCAAAATTTTAAAGAAGATTATTTAAATAATTGCTCCAATTAAAAAATTTTCAAAAAAAAAAAAATCAAACAATACTTTTTAAAGACTCAAAGGGTTGTATCGACTAATCTTTAGATCAAGTAGTATGAGATTAGAGTTACGTTTGAAGGTTATGAATTCGCAAAATGATGTCCACATAATTTTTTTTTTTTTTAGATAAGTATAAAGATGAAAGTTCAAAGACAAATTAAAAGTTTCAAAAAAGAAAAACAAATGGATGTTGATAATCTTACAAATCACCCAAAATGATTGCCTGTTCAAATTAAATTTAATTTTTTTTAAGTCCATTGGATTACAAGGGAAGGGATGGCAAGATTAGAATCTACACACACTAACATGCCTTAAATCTTTCTAATCATTGAATCAAAACGCTGAAGGCAAAATAAATTTAATTTTAAGAAAGGTAGAAAAAAATCTTAAAGTCCAAACCCATTGCATCATCCTAAAAGCTCAAATCAGACTAAATTTACTAGTCTGGCTGATAGCCCAGCAGTGTGCATATCCTTTCTACAAATTGAGGAAAAGACAACTTAAATTTTTTTTTTTTTCATTTTTCGTTAATTATCAGCTTATTTCAGTTGATCAACCAATTCTTTTACCAAACAAACAAACAAAAAAAATTACAGAAATTATTTTTTAACAATCAATTTTTTGAAACAAACATAAACCTAGTTAGGTGGAATAATAGGATTATTTTACATATTAGTTAGTACTTAAAGAAAAATAGCAACGCCCTTTGGATTTGGTAAAAAAACATATTTATACCTTTTAATTAAAAAAAAAAAAAACCCTCTTATCCCATTGAAGTTAGATAAAAAAATAGCTTATCTCCGAAAAACTAATAATGTTAGTTACTAAATTAATTTTAAATAAGGCAAAAACATTTATTATTATTAATTAATTATGAATTTCTTTAATTATTTTTTCTTTTATGTATTACTTTCTTTTAACAACAAAATTATGAGATATATATACTTTGAAATAAAATTATGAGATATATTTAGTTTTCAGTTTAACTAGATTTAAAATTATATTTAATTATTATAAATTTAAATTATATTTTATTATATTATATTATTATGCAAGTTCATATTTTATATTTTAAATCAAAAGATAACTATACTTTTTTATTATTTATTTAAACATTCTATATTTTATTCTTTTCTCTTTCTTCTTTTTATCCCTTTTCTTTCATTCAAGCTTTTTTTTAAAGAAACAAAATTATAAGATTTATTATAAATATGATTTAAAAATTGAAGTAGTTTTAAAATAATCTTTAATTATTACAAATTAAATTTTAATTAATTTAAATCAATTTTCAATTATATATTAAATATACTAAATCATGTATAACTCAATTACGAAAAATAAATGACATCCCTGAGCTTTTATTGAAAGAAATTTACAACTATTAGTTTGGAAAGAACACTCTTGTCATTAAAAAGTAATAGATATTAAGATTTCATTAATTAAACTAATATTTGTTTAAAGCTTACTTTAAATGCAAACGACATCTTTATTCTGCCTATTTTTTTAATCAACTTTTTATCACTAAAACTTGTTTTTTCTTTTTTTTTTTTTCAAAATAAGAGTAATTAAATTATTTTAACTAAAGATCATTTAATATATTTATCTCAAAATTAACATATAATTAATTAACAATAGGTTAGAAATATCTAAGTTAATTTGATAATAATTAAAAATAGATTTTAAAATTAATTAAATATTATAATTAAATAAATCTCATAGTGTTAAAAACATTTTTTTCATCTAACAACTAATAATTCAATCTCTGATGTTTTAAATATTAAAAAAAAAATCTCATACGTGCTTTTGAGTTTTTTTTTTTTTCCAATTAAAAGCTGTAAAGAGTTTTTTTAATCAAACTTTTTTTTGTATTCTTTATAACCTTTCAGTGTTTAGAGAAATTCGAGAACGTGCAATTTTCTTACCAAAAATATCTTTCTAATTTCCACAAAAAAGTTTCTTTCTTTAAAAAAATAACCAATCAAAAGAAAAATCAATAAAATGGAAATTATCATCCCCTCAACGGATATATATTATAGTTGAAGAGTTGAAGCTGCATTCAGCTCAGTCCTCTGATGGAGCTTCAAACCTTCCGCCATCCATCTTTTGCTGGTACCCATTTCTCTCTTTATACTCCTGTTCATATGAAATCACTGATTTGCGTTAATTTTTTCAAAACCGATAGGGAAGCCATAGATTTTTTTTTTTTTACTGTCCCACTATTTTCTTTTTGGGTACGGTCTCACTATAAGAAATGGACAGCATGGAATTTTGGGTATTACTAATATTATGGCTTTTTCACTGAAACAGGATACAATTAAGTTTAGTTTTTTTTCATTTGTTCTGCATATAAAGAAAAAAAAATATTTTTTCAATCAAATTCAAACCAGATTGTTAATGATACTGTGGCTGTGTAGTTCTAAATATTAAAGCTAGCTTTGATTGTTGTAGGAACTGTGATGTTTTTGGTCCGAAACCATGAGCTCAAGTGGAAGAATCATAATAGGTTTAGTCTAAATACCAAGCTTTTGGGCGATGGACATTTCTGTAAGCATTCAATATCAGGAAGGAAATGTTTCTCAAAAAATATCAGAAGTTCGGTTTCTTGTTCATATAGCACAGAGAAGAATGATACTTTGCCATCGGTAAAACAGCTAAGTGATGCTAGAGTGATTTATGCCGTGGCTCCAGCCCTGGGTCATACCAAGGTATATTTACTGAGCTGTTGGTTTCATACTGATAAGCAAGTTTAGTGCTTATAAATTCCTTATGTCTAAATAGTTTATAGCTTGCTTTCTGGTTCTCTAAGGTTTTTATATTTGGGGATAATTTGATCTTGGCTTAGTTTGTTTTTTTTGGTACAGAGAACTTGGTTTAGTTTTAAGACATGAGTTTCTATGCATTTCATGCTTGAACTTCAGCCTTTTTTCCTAATTAAAGAGAACCTAAATCAAGTTCATCTTCCCAATTTTTTATTTATTGTATGAGCTGTTGTAACTATGCTGGAGCTCTTTTAATGCATACGTCCAATTTTATATAATTTTTCTTTTTTTTTAATTAAAAAAAAGAGATAAGTTAGGCACCCATTTTAGGGACAAGAATAAAATAGTCAAACTGAAGGGCATTCTTCTTTATTTACCTGTTTCTACGCTCACCTCCTTTTTTTTTTTTTTTCTTTTTACTTTTCTTTTCGGATTTTTGAATAGAAAGCCTGGTGGTAGGTTTACATTTCTCGGGCAAGAAAAAGAAATCTGATATTTACGTTCTGCTAATCATTTATTCTTGCATAACTATGTTCTGCTCTCTTTGTGTTTTTCTGAAAATTTGGATTGGTCCTCATATTGGAGGTAAAAAAGTATTAGATCTTTCTTGTAGACTTTTTCTTAGAATAGTAGAAAATAGTTTTCTATGGAATACATATTTTTTCAATCAAGTTCTTCATTCTCAAGCCAGGGCAGAGGTACATGAGGTTGATTGCTTAAGCCCCACTGTATTTTAGATAAAATTCAAAGAGCTTTCATTGATCTAGTTTATTTGTTATTGAGACTAGTATTGGTTCTACCAATTGTCATTGCCATAGTAGAGAAAGCATTTTCAATAATAAACATTTTGAAGATTTGTTTGTATAATTGAATGGAAGATGAATGGTTGAATGATAGCTTAATTGTGTACATTGAAAAGTTGGGTTCAAAAGTATTGATAGCTTGTTTATATAAAATTTACTTTGTTGGTTTTTTATAATTTAGTATATTTGAAAGAAGCCCCCCTAAATAAAATTTCTGCCTCTGCCACTGTTCTCAAGAAAGAAAAGTTTATTTTATTATGCTGTTTATCTTATATTGAAAAATCAAAATAGTAAATTAATTTGACCATCCATATTTCTAATCAAATATAGTGAATTTGTTCTGAGACTTCTATATCCTTTTTATATGATTTTCTTACTGTTATAGGAGTCACATCCAGAATCCAGTGCTAGGGTTCCTGCAATTGTGACTGCGCTTGAGGAGATGGAGCTTACCTCAAAGGTACTGAACTGTGTTATTTTACGTTACTGTTTATTTCTGTGTCATTTCTCTTTAGATGTCCGCATTCCTTGTTTATGCATGTTTGATGCTTCAACATTTTATTCATGGTCTCAATCTTTGCAATTTGAATTTATGAACATCTTACCAACTACTTGATTGTATTATGATATACCTATGTTGTGATAGCATTCTCTGATTTCTGTGCGTTTTAAAAAGTATGATAATGTTGTGTATACATGAACTGTGTTATAACAAACAGATTTGCAGTTGTTTACCAATAGGTTATAAACAGCTTTACCACCATGGCCATGAAATCACCCCTTCTGACAGTGGAAGTGGTGTTTATGGCACCAGGTGTTAAAAACTGGGTGTTGAAAAAGAAAAGTATATTTTGTTAGTTCATAGACAACATTTTTTATGTTTAACTAAAAAAAAATGAATTATAAGACATTTATATTTGAGCCTAGGACATAATATATATTTTTAAGCTGTTGTCTTAATATTGTTTGATACAAAATTTATTCTTTACAATAACTTACAAGACAGATTTTGTTGGTGTCAGAACTGTTTTTTATCAATGAAGTTTAACTTTCATTGGTAGTCTACAGCTTATTCGAATCTTTGATTCTTTTCCATTATCTGTATTGGAATTGTAGGGGAAAATTTTCTATTAATTAATGTAATTCATTGCACTATTGGCTGAAGCAAGGGCTGCTGTCAAATCTCAGCTCCTCTAAAAGAAAGTGAATAATTTTCTCTTCCCATAAATGAACCGTGTATGGAAGAAAGAGAGAGGTGGCATTTAAAAAAAAGAAATTACAGAAGAGATGTGAAGTTTGAAGAAAATTGATTTGGTTAAGATTTGAGAGTAGAAAGCTCAGCACAGTTCTATAGTGATATTATTTTGACAATTTCCTTTGTGTATTAAATTTTCCTGTATATGTCAGTTTCGTGGCTCAGAAATCCTTGAACTTCAAAATTTCAAGCTTGCTTCAATTGATGATATTGCAAGTGTTCATGCGAAGGCTTATGTATCAGGCCTTGAAAAGGTGGCTTCCTAGTCTTGTGCTTCACCTGTTCCTTTCCATTTATTATTTGAAAAATGAAACTGTGTTGCATGCTTCAAGTTGTAGGCTATGGATCGGGCTTCCAAGCAGGGCCTTATTGTAATTGATGGTTCTGGACCAACATATGCTACTGCTACAGTAAGTATATTGTGTTTGATGTTCTTGCTTTTCTTTCCTAAGCTTGTGGAAACATAGAGGAAGTTAACAGAGATGCATCTACGATTTATGTTTAGTGGGCAGGGTGGCTTACTAAATCAAAATATTATAAAAAATGTTTTTGTCTTATTAATAATTAAAATTTTAGATGCAAGATTAACTATGGCCATAAAAGCTACTTTCCCGTATAGAAGCAAAACTCTGTAATTGTTCACAATGTTCCAATCATTGCAAGAGGTTTCCTTCTTTCACTATGTATTTCTCAATGTAGGTAACAAGACAACCATTCATCCAGTAATTTCTTATTTTGTTAAACAATAAATTCATCATAATCTTCACAAGTGAAAATGTTATCTTTGGATTCCATATCAATATATTATATCAAACTAACTGTACAAGAAACTTACTAATGGGTACATTATGGTTTTATGCATACCCTCGATTAACTGCATGCATAACTAATTTAAATTAATTAGCTAAGTCTGTCCTATTCTTAAGGAAAGACCAATTTGTGAATATGTTAACGAAGATCAATAAATTTTGTTTATCATGTGTTTCTAATTAGGTACATTAATTGTATTTCAAATATTACATAACTATAAAACGAAAAGAAAAAAAAGACAAGCCTCTTCTGTTAATAAGGACAGAGAAAATAAAAAATATCCCTGTAAATTTTATGTAGCTCTTTAAGATTATTGATTATAACTTTATGCTGTTGGCTTTTTTTTATTTGGTTAGTATCTTTATTCCTATCCCTTTTTTTGTATCTTAGAATACCCATATTGTTTTTTTTCCCAATTCCGTGGGGACAGGAAGTAAATTTCTTGACATTTTCTGTTGTTTCCTTGGTAGCCTCAATTGCTTTTACGATCTCTGTGGGGCAGCTGTCCACTTTTCCTCCATTATGGATCTGTCAATAGCAGTCACACTCTTCTATATGCATAGGTGCATTGGATTCAAAATAGCAAAGTAACAATCCCATTATTGTGAAATATAAGATATATTTCACTTACAAGTGATTACTAAAGCAAAACATTAAGACTTTTTTGTATTAAGAAAATTGAACAAATAATTGGTTGAAGGCATGTAGTTTGCTCAAATTGTTTCAGGTTTTTAAATATGTGTGCTGTATGTTGTTTATCTTCTTTTTTGTGATGCAGACATTCCATGAGTCACTAGTTGCAGCTGGAGCAGGACTTGCCTTAGTTGATTCAGTGGTGATGTCTCAACCTAGAACATTAAGTCTCTTGAATGATAATCTTTCAATTTTCTTGTTAGTTGAAATAATTTCATCTTCACCTCATGATTTTCTATTGTTACATTTCTAGAAGGTGACAGCTCTATTCTCCAGTGTTTGCTTTAAAGCAATCAAACACTTTCGTAAGATTAGTGACCAAAAATAGCTAAAGGTGCATCAAATTGAGTGCTGAACCTCAAAGGCTTATAGCTAATTCTAGGGGGAATATAGCTTTCTTCCTCAAATATGTGAGGCATATAACCAGGAGTAATTTTTCCATGGGCCTAGAATTACCATCCATACTTCAATAAATGATATAGAAAACAACAATTTCAAATGCGTATTTTTTGGATAAGCAAATGATGCAATTGAAAAATGGGAGATTGAAGATAAATTAATAAAATGTAAGAGTTATATCTTAAAACAGTCCATTTGTGCCTCAAGAGACGGTGAAAGGGATAAACTAAGGGAGATAGCAAGTAGTATCTGTCTTGAAGGAAGATAGGGCAGACATTTTAAAGGACTAAGATCTGTAACAAAAAAAAAGACTAAGATTAGCTTGCAAAATGCTTTGACCAATGGGTCAAATGATAGATTGTGTGGAACAATGAGATGATTGATGAGGCTCTACAGCTGAGAATAGAAGCCTTTTTGCTTGGTCTGTTTGCATTTTACAAGAGAGATCATTCAAAGTTTTTTATATTGTCATTCTGGTTTTTGGGAATTTTCAATCCTTTTCATTTCTTTCTTCTTATTTGTTATCTCTTCATTTTGCCACTTATGTAATGTAGTTGATGCTATATCTGATGGTTGTAGTGTAGAAAACTTAAAGAACAGTTGTCCTTGTTTCTTCTTATTCAATCTATAATGAAGGAGTACATCTAAATAAATAGGAACAGTGAAGTTCCTTGTTAGAAAACAACTTACATGAAATAGAAAACAAAAAATAACAAAAACAAGGAGAATTATTCCATTCTAAAATAATAAAAAAAATCCCTAACAACTCGACAATTAGAATAGTGGAATAAATTAGAAGAGTAAATGAGAAATATTCCCAAAATAAATTAGGAAATCAAGTTGCAGTAATATGGGTGAATCAGATCTATACTAATGTAGGAGAATCGGATCAAGCTGCATTAATGTAGGAGAATTATTAGGAAACAACTTACATGAAATAGAAGACAAAAAATAATAAAAGCAAGGAGAATTATTCTATTCTAAAATAATAAAAAAAAAATCCCTGAAAACTTGACAATCAGAATAGTTGACTAAATCAAAAGTGTAAATGAGAAATATTCCTAAAACAAATTAGGAAATCAAGTTGTAGTAATATAGGAGAATCAGATTTTCACTAATGTAGGAGAATCAGATCAAGCTGCATTAGTGTAGGAGAATTGGATCTCCACTAATGTAAGAGAATCAGATTTCTACACTCCCCCTTAGGTTGGGTTATGAATGTTAATCGTACTTAGCTTGGATTTCAATCTGTCAAAAATGCTTCTAAGAAGAGCTTTAGTCAAAATATCTGCAATTTGTGAACTTGTAGGGATATAAGCTAGTTTGAACGACCCATTTTCTATCTTTTCCTTTATGAAATGTCGGTCCATCTCTATGTGCTTAGCCCTATCATGATAAATAGGATTTTTGGCAATACTTATAGTAGCCTTATTGTCACAAAACAGTGTCATAGATGTCACAGTATGAACTTTTAACTCTCCAAGTAACCTCATCAACCAAATTCCTTCACAAGTAATGTGGGACATTGCTCTAAACTCAACCTCAGCACTGCTCCTAACTTCAACAGCTTGCTTTTTACTTCTCCAAGTGACCAAATTGCCCTAAACATAAATGCAATATCCAGTAGTGGATCTTCTATCTGTTATTGATCCAGCCCAGTCAGCATCTGTGTACACCTCAACTGCCTTATCCATTGACTTCTTAAAATATAGACCTTCACCAGTACTCTTCTTTAAGTACTGTAAGATGTGATGAATAGCCTTGTGATGCTCCTTGGTTGGATTATTCATGTATCTACTCACCATCCCTACTGCAAACCCAATAACAGGTCGTGTGTGGGAGAGGTAGATAAGCTTCCCAACTAGTCTTTGGTATCGCCTTTTGTCCATGGGAGAGCTTCCATTTTCACTTCCAATTTTATTAGTTGAGTCCATGGGTGTATTGGCAAGTTTGTATCCTTGTTTTACAGGCCATTGTTTTACCTTCATCATTGTAACTTACATGTCACTTAATACCAAATCCTAAATCTATTGATGAATAATTTATTTTATCTTTTATTAAAGTCAAAAGGGATATAATACAAATATTACAATTTTTTGTATTTAATTAATTTAAAAATATCAAAACTTAATACCTGAAAAGTTTGAACCCTATTGCTTTGGGGCATGTTCCCTTACTGTTTGACATTTGGAAAAACTGCTCTATGCTCGAAAGGTTAGCAAATACTTTCTTATAATGAGATGGGGAAGTTATTGTTTCTGAGTAGCAAAAATGCCAAACATATTTATGTCATATTCAGGTTGCAGCATCAAACAATCGACTAGATCCACCTATGGGTTTTGCTTTGATAAGACCTCCAGGACATCATGCTATTCCAAAAGGTCCCATGGGGTTCTGTGTTTTCAGTAATGTGGCTATTGCAGCTCGACATGTTCAGCGTCTACATGGATTAAAGCGGGTGTTTATTATTGATTTTGATGTTCACCATGGGAATGGCACAAATGATGCTTTCTTGGATGATCCAGATATATTCTTTCTTTCAACCCATCAAGTATGCAATTTTTCTGGTGCATATCAACATTTTTTAATCTTAATTTGCTCTTCAGTTGGAATTTTCTATCTGGCTAAATGTTATTGTTATAGGCGGCACCAACTATTTGTGACTAATGCTGTGCAATTTCTGCTCAAACGGACAAGTATTGTGTTAGGAGGGATACGATGAACGAACTTTTCACCTATGCCTTCTGATATTTGACGAAGTGCATATTTTAGAAGTTAAAAGCAGAATATATAAGTATTCAAATCTATTTTAATCAATGTTGATATAGGATGGAAGCTACCCTGGCACTGGAAAAATTGATGAGATAGGTCATGGGGCTGGCGAAGGAGCGACACTTAATCTACCACTACCCGGAGGCTCAGGTGACACTGCCATGAGAACTGTTTTTGATGAAGTCATTGTGCCCTGTGCTCAAAGGTTCAAGCCAGATATATTCCTTGTGTCTGCAGGGTAAGTCTTCCTTGTCCTTGAAATTTTATTGCATGCTCAAACCCATAAGAAAGTTGTATTTTGAAGCTCTCTCTGGTTAGTTAGTGAATTCCAGAGAGTATTGGCAGTGGAATCATTCATCAATTGGGCAAGTAATAATTCTGTTCATATAACAATGAATCACATGGGATGTAAATAGAAAATCTTGTTCATTTAGTAAAATTTGAAGAAGGTTATATCTTAAGCAGGGGTTTTGATTGATCTTTGTCCAGGTATGATGGTCATGTATTGGATCCACTCGCCAGTCTACAATTTACAACAGGGACATACTACATGCTTGCATCTAACATCAAACAACTTGCCAAAGATTTATGTGGCGGCCGCTGTGTATTTTTCCTGGAAGGAGGATACAACCTCGATTCACTTTCATATTCCGTGGCAGACTCATTCCGAGCATTTCTCGGGGAGCCAAGTTTGGCACCTAAGTTTGATGACCCAGCAATATTGTACGAAGAGCCATTAACCAGGTTGAAGCAAGCAATTCAGACAGTAAAGCACATACATTCACTGTGATTGTGCAAATATTTAATTCTTAAAAATTTAAGTTGGCACTGTCCTTTATTTCTGCAATGAAAACGTTGCAGTATATAATGGAGATTCTGCCATGATTCAGTACTGGAAGTTGATGTCTAGGTGGTCAACTAAATATGAATCATAAATTGATGTAAATGAGGTTAATTTTGTTAATACCGTTGAACAAAACTAGAAGGTAAAGCTCAATTATAAGTTAGAACAACCTCTGGTCAATGCGTAAATGACCCTTTTTTTGATAACTCAATTATAAGCATCCTTCTGATTTTGGTATTAACGCCGCTTTTGAGTCGCTCAATGCTAGCTAAAGGGTGAGGTGGAGAAGTGGATTTTTCCATTTAATGACATAATATGCAAACATAAGCAACTCCTTGCTGTTATGAAAATCTCATCAATGTGGAAATGAATAGATTGTGTTATTTCATTTGGATCTTCAATAAGAAGGTTTGCTCCCATATGTAAAAAAACAGAATTAAATTTTTTTTTTAAAACCTGGAGTTTTATATAATTAGTACTTGCACATCCTAATCTTATATTTTTCACATGAGAGACTCTTGTCTTACCATAACAGAATTTTAAATTAAAAATATATTTATTTATTATTGAATCAAATACTTGAAAGAGAGAAGAATTAATATATGTGGATGTTAGTAACTTGTCGTAGTTGGTCATTTTACTACTCTTGTTCTCTTTTTATAATTCAATTTATGTTTGTTCAACTAAGCATTCGAGGGAAGAAACTATAAGATATTTTACCTTGTTTAAATTTCATGACCCAAAATAATCATGGGAGGTGTTATGACCAAGCCCATGAGACCTAATTAGAGAAGACGCTGACACTACCCCTTTATTTCATTCAGCTCAGTTTGGAAAAAAAAAAAAATCGATTAAAGTGCATTATTCTAGTTTTCTAGAAATCGGATCGTTTTTGTAATTAAACAGACCCTAATCAAATTTTACTAATTTGTTTCAGTTCCATTTTTAATTTAAAATTTAATTTTTAGTTTTTTCATATACATTTAGCAAGAATTTTATTTTATTTTATAAAAATAATTTAGTTCAATTCAATTTAAATAGTTACAAATTTTTAACTTATTAATGAAAAATTAAATTGAATTGAATAGAAATATTTGTAAGTCAAACAATAATTTTAATGGATAAAAGAGGAATAAGATGATAATTAGATAAGATCGGTCATTTTGTAATAAGAGAGGTAAAAAATTTTGAAGATCCATGACTTTGGTCTAACCATTAATCAATGCTGTAAAATATTAGATATATTCATAATTAAGATATCAAATCATGAAAAATGATGTAATTCAATGATAATTTATGTATTAATTGATTTATAAACAATCGTAGATAATAAATTTTTTTAAAAAAATTAAAAGTAAAAAAATAATACAATTGTATGAAATACGAATATAATCATAATCTCTCTCTCTCGCTTTTCCGATCTTTTGTAAAGATTCCTTCGTGCACAAGAAACTAATGACGACCTCACTATCTACATCTCATTTGTAGGGATTGAAGACCAATTGGCTTCATTCTCACTCACTAAGGTAAGCATTAAAATTTGGAGTTCTTCTACACAGGTCGATTTAATTAGTGTCTCGATCGATCATACTAAAAACATTCTTCGAGACAACTCATTGCTCGACTCTTAACCCATAATTCAATTTGGTGGTGGTTGAAAAGAAAACACCTGCATGAAAACGCGGCCACCTTGACCTTCTCCTTCCAACATCAATCTTTCCATGAGATCTGGTTTTATCAATATATAGCACCTATAACTTCCAATCACAAACAATAAGAAAGATGGAGTGAAAAGATTGGCAAGTTAAAGCAGCTACAAAAATTTCAAGTGTGAAAAAAGATCATTCTCGTGGAGAATGGATCACATAATCCAGGATGTGACATTTTAAGGGAGTGTTTATTTCGGGAATTTTTAAATTTTAAGAGAGAAAGTGATATTGAAGGGAGTATGTGACTTTTTTGTTTCGTTAACTTAGTAAATGTAAGATTTTTGTATTTATTTAGAGAAATATAAAATTATCTTATAAAGTTTTTATTATATTATTCTTAATAATATATGAAAAACACGTGACACGTAAATAATACGTTGTTTTATTTTCAATTATATATTTTTTAAAATATATTAAAGAATTCTAAAAAATAAAATTTTTTGTATTTTCAACAAAAATTATGTTTTTATCTTAAAAACGTAATTTTTATTAATTTTGAATTTTTTTGTATTTTCAAAAAAGACTGTGTTATCTTAGAAATGTCTTCTTTGTTGAATTCTAAAAAATTATTTTTTTCATATTTTCAAGAAAGATTATGTTTTTAATCATATAACTTTTGTTAGGGATTTCAATAATATTGTATCTTTGTTTAAAAGATAAAAAAGACTACATTTTTAAACAGAAGTATAATGTTTGTTAACAAAAACTATATTTTTTTTATCTGAAGTTTCAAGTAGTTTTTGTTGAAACTATGAAAATTTAAAAAATAAATTTTCTTATAATATATTGATAAGCAAACTATAAAAGATAAAATATAATTTTTTCATAATATTTTTTCAACAAAGCTTATGTTTTTAATTTTAAAAACATAATCTTTGTTGAAAAAGTAACAAAAATCATATTTTTAATCTAAAAAAAAACATGATTTTTGTTTAAAATATATTATACAAATATTTTCATAATATTTTATTAAAAATTATTATGTTTTTAAGGTCAATAGCATTTATATAATCTGAAAATATAATTAAGTGAAAATAAATGAGAAAAAATTGGTTCGGGGGAATCCATATATTTTCCCTCGAAATTTTATTATTGAGTTTTTTATTCTAACGTTTAGTTCAGGGTAATCTGATTTCGAAAAAACTGACAGATTTTCAATAATACTCAAAATCTCGAAATAAAAAAAATCACATCTTCTTGTGGTATTCTAGGATTTCGATAGAGAAAGTAGCGTCATTTTCAAATTTGACCTGATTAAAAAAATTATGAAATAGTCATTGCCATTTTGGAAAGCATGTTAGGAAATGAATGCAATTCAGTTGTAGGTTTCTGTTAGTAAAAATTTGGTTTATATATAGTGTTTGGCATGAAAAATGCCTTTAATAATCTCTTACAAAAAATGAATGGGTTATTCAAGACGTTTTTGACAAAAAATATCTTGAATAATCCTAAAAAAATTTTATGAGAGGATTATTAAAGGTGTTTTAAGCTAGAAATGCCTTGAATAAACTTTATTCAATTTTTTATAAGGGATTATTCTATGCATTTTTTGTCAGAAATACCTTAAATAATTCTTTACAAAAAATTGAATAAGGTTATTCAAGGTATTTCTTGTCAAAAATGCCTTTAATAATCTCATTTAATTTTTATAAGGTGATTATTCAAGGTGTTATTGGCAAAAAATACATTCAATAATCTATTTTAATTTTTTATTAGGCAAAAATGCCTTGAATAATCTCTTTAGAAAAAATTGAATAGGGTTAATCAAGGCGTTTCTAACCAAAAACGCCTTGAACAATCCTCAAAACTTTTATGAGGGGATTATTCAAGGTGTTTATGACTAAAAACACCTTCAATAATTCCCTTCAATTTTTATGATGGGATTATTCAAGGCATTTTTGGGAATAATCGTTTACAAAAAATTGAATGAGGTTATTTAAAGCATTTCTGGCTAAAAACGCCTTCAATAATCCCTTGAAAAATTAAATGGAAGTTATTCAAGGTGATCCTAGCCAGAAACGCCTTAAAATGATAATTATTTAAAAACTATTCTTTTTTATTTTCATAGATCAAAGTGTTATGACATGATCTTTCTTCATATACACCTATAAATAAATGATTAAGGCATTTGTATGGAAAACCGCTTTCATTAGTTATCAATTGAGGTGTTTCTTCCTACAACCGCCTTAATTGTCCCATATTAAAATTTTATTTTTCCTCTCGATGACCATGTTCTGACAATATGAACGTTCTAACATCTAATCGTGAAACAGAAGAAATACAACTATCAAATGTGGCATATGTATATATGGAACACCTTATTCCATGTCTTCATCATGTTTCAATTACAAATACAATTGAAATTTATATTTCAACAAATCTCAGCTCATAGCATTTACTTTTCTCTTTGAAAAGGTTTAAACTTCCTCATCCATCATTTAATCTTCGTCCTATTAAGTTTATCATCAGTTTTTATACAAAATAGTGTGTATACTTTCTGATTGATAGTGTGTAATCCATGTTGTCTTCCAATGAACTTATTTTTCATTTTTTAGATGTCGTTTAGCTTTGGATTAAAGGCATTTCCAATATATATTATATGTTTTATGGTTAAATTATTTTAGCTCCTTCTAATCTTCCAATGTTTTGTTTGTGATTTATATTTTAATTAATGATGTGGGGGGATTCCATCCACCATATGCCAAGATTTGCTTTCTATTATGTTTTCAACTTTAACGATATTCTTTCTTCTAAGTAATAATGGTTGGTTTTTCACTAAGGAAGATGTGATTGGTTACATTACTTATGATGCAATTGAACCAAATAGAGACTTTGTTGCATTTGTGATGTTTTATTGCTATAACTTTATTAAATATTAATGTAAGAAAACAACGTAGACTATCTTATGGTGGAACATCTTATAATAACCTATGTATTATAGAGTTAAACTTAAACGCAATAATCTTTGAAAACGATATACAATGTGAAGATCATATTAGAATGGACATGAGAATTTTTGCAAAATTATGTCATTTGTTTAAAACAGAATGGGGATTATAGTCATCTAAACATATGTCAATGGAAAAACTAGTAATTAGCTTCCTCCACATTATTGCCCCAGCATACAAAAAATAAAATTATGAAGCATCAAGTGGCTAGATCTAGAGAGACAATTAGTAGACAATTCCATTTTATGTTGAATTTTATTTTAAGATTGCATATGTTGTTGTTTAAAAAACCCAAACCCATTTTGAAAAATTCAACAGATAATAGATGAAAATGGTTTAAGAGTTGTTTAGGTGCATTAGATAGGATATACACTAAAGTCAATGTTGACACAGTTGATTGACCTAGATACAGGACTAGGAAAAATGAAATTGCTTCCAATGTCCTTGGTGTTTGCACTCTATATATGCAATTCATAAATATTCTACCGGGATGGGAAGGTTTTGTAGCAAATGATAGAGTGTTAAGGGATGTCATTACACACAGGAATAGGTTAAGGATCTCACAAAATATTATTTGTATTATGTTTGTGTAATGTTAATAACGACGTTGCTTATTTCCATGTTAGTAATGTTGTTGATCATTTTAACAGGTATT